AGCATTTGCATAACAATAGTTCATTCTTAAATTATGCATTATCTTTCCCATTCTAGTGTTGCATGGCTATAACCTCTTGGCCAGGCTCATGTCCTTATTACAGGGGTCCTGCAAGCTCTTCATATTGTAACTGGTATATTTGGAAAATTAACTCAAAGTTTTTTCCCTACTAGTATCAGAAGTAACATTCATTCATTCATTATTTATTTATTTGTTATTTATATATTTACTCAACAAACATTTAATGAATCCCTACCATTAAGGTAAGACAAATCAGACTCCCCTTCCTTGGAGCTCTGGGTGGAATGAGACACATAGGTAAACACTTCAGTAAAGGGCTGGACATAAAATATCTGGACAGTTTTCAAAAGAAAGAACTTCTCCTGACTCCGGATAGATGGAGATTTTAGAGCAATTAGGAGTTCTTCCAACTATTTTTTGAGTTTGAAATTATTTCAAAAGAAAAGAACACCACAAAGATTATTTTTGTAATTTTTAACCTAATTAAATAACAATAGCTAAATTTGATTGAGTCAGGTCACCAACTTAATTCCCACAGCAAACCTATGAATGAGGTACCACTGTTGACTCCAATTTACAGATAAGAAAACAGGCATCTTGATATTAATCATTTACCAGACTTCATGCAACTAGGAAGTGATAAGCCAGAAATTAAATCCAGATCTGTCTGATTTTAGACTCTTTTCTCTTAACCAGTAAATTTTACCATATTCAATTATTTGGTATTGTGCATGTGTGTGGATGTGTCTATGTGTGTGCATATATATTAGTGAGGGTTCTCCAGAGAAACGGTCAGTAGGGATGTGTTTGTGTGTGTGCTTATTATAAGGAATGGAATTATAATACCGTTATTGGTAATTATTAGCTGGCAAGCCCCAAGATCTGCAGTTTAATTCCAGTCTGAGTCTGAAGAACCAGGAGAGCCATTGGTGTAGTTTTAGCCCAAGGGCTAAAACTCAAGACCTAGGAAGAGTCAAAGTTTCAGTCTGAGTTCAAAGGCAGGAAAGAAGCCAACGTCCCAGACAGAAAGTGGTCAGGCAGAAAGAATTCTCTTTTGGGTGGTTCTCTTTTTGTTTTATTCAGGTTTTCAACTGATTGGATGAGACCTGCCCACATTAGGGAGGGCAATCTTCTCTACTTAGTCTACTGATTTAAATGTTATTTTCATCCAGAAACACCCTCACAAAAACACCCATAATGATGTTTGGCTGGATCTGAGCATTCTGTCACCCAGTCGACACATAAAATTAACCATCGTAGTTCATATTACAATTGATGCTTAAACAACAAAGGTTTGAAAGGCAAGAGTCCACTTATACACTGATTTTTTTTCAATAAATACTATAAAGCATTTTTTAATGATTTTTTTTAAAAAAGGTTATTCTTTTAAAAAACATTTTTATTGATTTCAGAGAGAGGAAGGGAAAGGGAGAGAGAGAAACATCCATGAGAGCCGTTGACCTGGGGCCTCCTGCGGAGCGAGGCCGCCGCCTGGGCTGCGGCCCGAGTCGGACCCAGGTCCACGGTCAAGCACCGCGCCCACGGCCAGGCAGTAATTTTCTTCCTAACATTTTTCTAGCTTGCCTCATTGTAAAAATGCCTTGCACAGCACCCACACCATGAAGGACGGACTAACCGGCGTTTCCGTCGCGGGGAGAGCTCCCCGCCGAGGCGCCC